AGCCTTTTTATTTTATTCATTTAAAAACAATATTCTGAGGAGATTATAGGCTTTATTAGGCTCCTCTTAAAGGGTTCCATAATACACAAAAAAGTTTAGGAACCCTTACACATTTTTTTTCTTTTAAAATAAATTCTAGCTAGCTCACTCCCTCCTTTGCACCAGCCAGCTGCCCTGTCACTGCCGATCTGCCCATAGCCCAGAAAAGTCACCTGTGGTCAGCTCTGAAGAGGGCTCTGCAATTAGCTCTGTTGTTTATCCACAGTTGCATCTGACAGTGCTATTAAGCCTTATCCTCTGCTGCTAGGTTTAGTTTCCTATTCTCTGGGGATGTTTTTCGTCAGTACACACCACTGAAACACTCATTCATGAACAGCAATTTGTTTATGGTGATAAAATAAAAAAAAACCCTACAAAAAGAAATTGGTAATGGAGAGTCTTACTGAATGATGAAAGCATTGCAGGATCACGTATCCCCTTGACCTAGCCAAACCCTGCACTCACCAACTAATGATGGCAAAACACAGAAAATCATCACTGCCAAATGGTGATCTAGTAGAATTAAAAAACTTAGTAAATAGGGCCTTATTTGTCAGAAGACTGGAGTTTGGTGTCAGAGCGTTAGATTTTGGCCAAACTAATAGTTACTATTGCATTTGTCAAGTTAGAGATTCAGGCTCGATATTGAAATGCTAGTCAGAAAAAATGAATATGCAAGATATGCATTATCTCAAAAGGCACAGTACCATTCTCCAAACTCCAGTGGAGAATGGAAAACATATAAAAATGGTTGTTCATCAGTTCTCTTTTTTGAAGTGATACCTTTTTTCGTCTACGGGCTTTTGGAACTGTCTTTGTGATCACTGTGTTGATTGGAGTAGCTAAGTCTTTCATAGTTAATTATCCCTACAATATTGCTGTTACTGTGTGCAGTGGTCTCCTGGTTCTGCTCACTTCACCTTGTATCAGTTCATATAAGTCTGCCCAGCTTTTTCTGAAACAATCCTGCTCCTCATTTCTTATAGCACAATACTATTCCATCACAATCATATGTCATCACTTGTTCAGTCATTCCGAATTGATGGGCATCCCCTCAATTTCCAATTCTTTGCCACTACAAAAAGAGCTGCTATAAATATTTTCGTACAAATAAGTCCTCCCCTCCTTTTTTAAAATCCCTTTGGGATACAGACCTAGTAGGTACCATTAACTTTTCAAATTGCCATATCATGCTGTTGACTTCATTGAACTTTCACTCCTCTAAAACTCCATAATTGCTTTCATACAAATTGCTGTCTATCCACACAGCTACTCCATTTTGGATTTGTGAAGTGGATTTTTTTTAAGACTGTATGAGATTTTGCATTTATTCTTTTTTTTTCATTTATTCTTATTAAGTCCCATAGTAGTCAATAAATAATAGCCAGTGGTCAATAAATATGTATTAAGTGCCTATTGTATTCCATCACAGTCATATATCACAACTCGTTCAGCCATTCCCCAATTGATGGGTATCCCCTCAATTTCCAATTCTTTGCCACTACAAAAAAAGAGTTGCTGTAAATATTTTTGTACATTTTCCCTTTTCTTTAATCTCTACCTAGTAGTGGTATTGCTGGGTCAAATGGTTTAAATAGTTTTATAGCCCTTCGGGCTATGTATATAGTTCCAAATTGTTCTCCAGAATGGTTGGACTAGTTCACCAACAGTGCATTAATGTCCCAATTTTTGCACATCCCCTCTGTTTGTGATTTTTTTCTGTCACGTGAGCCAATCTGACAGGTATAAGGTGATATCTCAGAGTTGTTTTAGTTTTCATTTCTCTAATCAGTGATTCAGAGCATTTTTATGTGACTATTGATAACTTTGATTTCTTCTTCTGAAAACTGTTTATATCTTTTGACCATTTATCAATGGGGGAATTTTTATAAATTTGGCTTATTTCCCCATGTATTTGAGAAATGAGGCTTTTATCAGAGAAATTTGCTGCAAAAATATTTTCCCCCAGTTTTCTGTTTCCCTCCTAATTTGGCTGTATTAGTTTTGTTTCTGCAAAAGCCTTTTAATTTCACATAATAGGAATAACCTATCTTATTTCTCATAATCCTCTCCATCTCTTATTTGGTCATAAACTCTTTCCTTATCCGTTGATCTGGCAGGTACGTTTTTCCATGTTCCCCTAATTTACTTGTAATATCACCCTTTATATCTAAATCAGTTATCCATTTTGATCTTATCTTGGTATATGGTATGAAATGTTAGTCTAAGCCTAGTTTCTGCCAAACTGCTTATTAGTTTTCCCAGCAGTTTTTGTCAGATGTTGAGTTCTTACTCCCAAAGCTTGGATCTTTGGGTTTATCACATGCTAGATTACTATGATCACTTACTACTATGTAAATTATATACCTAATATATTCCTCTGATCCCCTCTGTTTCTTAGCCAGCACCAAATTGCTTTGATGATTACCATTTTGTAATATAATTTGAAATCTGGAACTGCTAGGGCCGACTTCCTTCACATTTTTTTTCATCGATTCTCTTGATATTCTTCCAGATGAATTTTGTTACTATTTTTTCTAGCTCTACAAAATAATTCTTTGGTAGTTTAATTGGTATGGCATTGAAGAAGTAAATTAATTTAGGTAGAATTATGCTTTTTATTATATTGGCTAGGCCTACCATGTCCAATTAATATTTTTTCTAATTGTTTAGATCTATCTTTATTTGTGTTTAAAGTGTTTATATAGCCCCTGGGTTTTTCTTTGCAGATAAACTTCCAGGCATTTTATTTTGTCTACAGTTGTTTCGAATAGAATTTCTATTTTTTCCTGCTCGTTTTGTTGGTAGGATATAGAAATGCAAATGATTTATATGGGTCCTTATCTCATATTAAAGAAAAAAAAATGTTCTAATTAAGTGAATTAGCACAGATTGAATGAGTAAGACTGCATTCTTCAATTTCTGGAGTGAAAGATTGAGGCTGGAAGTTAAGCTGTACTTATTTTCACAAAGAGTAAATTTTGCAGAGAGGTTTTCATACATTCCAAAGAGCACAAAGCCTTATCAGTTACCGTAACATTACAGCTTGTAGAGTAAAGCCAGATGCAGAATATAGTCAAAGGAAGGGGACATCAAAGACGAAGCAGCTGGTTCACTCTGAATTAGTTTGGGCCTTCAAGGTCAAGCACATTCAATTAAAAACAAAAACAGAGAAGACCTCCTGGCTTAAAATAACATTAGGATTTCTCATAGTCGCTTGTCTCCTCAAAGTAAAACTTACTGCTCAATTAAGAATTAGAAATTTTTACGTCTTTATCATTTGTTGTGAAGTCGATACTTTGTATGTAAGTATGAGACTTTCTATTTTTCCCCTTTGAGTTTATTCTTATTAGATTAAGCCCAGTTCTCTGGCTTTTTAAAATCCTTTTGGATCCTGATTCCATTCTTTTTAAAGAAGGAAATCAGCCTGCACATTGAGAAACCATTTAATTGTGGCAAAAATATGAACATCACACATTCTATATAAGTCATTGCCCAATTATCTGTGTTCTCCACATGTACTGGAAGTGAAATCCTCAGAACTTCTGTGGCAGACTAGTTGTGGAGGTCTTAAACTCCTGAAATTGTCCCTCTCCTCACCTCCTTAGTGCCCCATTAGCATCCATACAGCCATACTCCTTTTTCTGTCCCTTGTGTTATTTACATCTTACCTTATCTCAGCAATTTGTCTTGTCTTATTTCCTTTGTCTTATTAACTACCTTTGCCTGTTCTATCTCTTCTGCTCCTTCTTTTTCTTCTCCTTCAGGTCCTTCTGGGTATCATTTGTGCCTTCCTGTTCTCTTCACATCCCTCTCCTTGTATTTTCTTTCTCCTCCTCAAGTCCGCTCATTTCTACCCCAAAATTCAATCTCAGATCTTTCTTTAAAATTCCAAAATCCTCCAAATCATCTTTCCAGTTATTTTTCCCATTCTCGTAACTTTAGCTCAAGCCTTCTCCTCCTGTTCCTTCTCACATATGATCTTCTCTGTAGGAAGCTAGAAGGAGACTTCTTTAATCATATATGTGTATGTATATATATATATATATATATATATATATATATATATATATATACACACACACACACATATACTTACATATGTATGTATGTATATATATTTATCTTGTTAACTAGTCATGTTTTTTTAAACCCATTTGATAAAGTATAGATTTTAAAAGTTACATTTACACCAAAAGACTTCTTTATGGGTCAGGGGAGGGGTCAGCCTAGATAATTACCTCATGATATTAAAAAGACTTCAATAAAAGGACTTCCAGGAAATGAGTTAGTCCTCTACCATGAGTACTCTAGAATTGAGTTCACTTTCCCCTAGACCCTCTATGTACTGGTAGACAAATATGTCAGAAACTTTGAGGGGAATGTTGGTATCAACTGAACCAACTACATCACTATAATAAATACCTTGTCCTAGTAGCTAATTAAGTCTGGCTTACTAATTGACATCAACTTGCAATTGTGGTGGTAAGCGTGCCAGTCGGGGCTCACGGGCTACTAGAAAGGACAACTCCAGCCCTTTAAGGTTAACTTGAGGATGCTAAGGGAACCTTGTAGCCAGCCTCCAGTGATCCAACCTGCCAGGGCAAATGGAAGTTTGGGATAGTTGCCTCAGAGCATGTGCTACACTCCTATTTTAGATAGTCAAGAATGGTTTTTGGCTTTATCGCTTCCTTAGTTTTCCTTTTACTTTGAATTGAGAATAGGCATTTGAAGAAAATTTTTCTAGCTATTTCACAGTTCTTGTTGTGAATTATTTATGACTTGGATCATGGATACTTCCTTCCCAGATTGCATCTAGTGTAATAGAATGGTATGATTTGCCTTAAATTGTCAGTCTTCTATTCACTGTTTCTCTTACTGTGATTTACCTTCTCCCCTCCCCTCCCCTCCCATCTTAGCTAAAAAAGAGAATACCAACATTATTTATTTTTTACTTACAGATGATCTGGATATGCAGCTTTTGAAAATGGCATACTACAACTGAGGTACAGTTTTCTTTGGGTTGGTTTCAATCGAACTCAGTAACTTGTCTCTTTCTCTTTTAAGTTAGAACTAAATTGAACATAAAATTCATCTTTATGACTTTTTTTAGGAACATATATATTGAATTTATTACTTGTAATAATATATTAAATTTTTAAAATTATACGTTTGAAAAGTAAGCTGTACAGTTTCATGTATAGTTCTCTTTTTTGTTCAATGTATGTGGAAATGCTTGTTTTATTTGGTGTTTGTGAAGTTCAGAATTTTTTAAATATTCCTCTTTTTAAAAGGTATTGATTGTACTCTCCTGTTCCTCTTACCACTTTAATGGTCTTTTTGTGCTTCTTCATCACCTTCTCTTCCTTCAGTCTCAAAACTTTATTCTCAGACTTCTTGTCTTTCCTCTCTATTATTTCTCATTTGGTTATAGCACTTAGCACAGTGCTGACCCATAGTAGGAGCTTAATAAGTGTTTATTGATTGATTGGTGCTATTTTCCAATCCCATCCAGTCAGTACTTTTAAGCAGATGACTCCCAAATCTACATTTCCAATTTATGACCCATTTTTGTGGAAGTCTTTACTTATGTTTTTATTTTAAGAGAACTTTTCCTTTTAAGTCTGTAAGGAAAATAAGGCATGGGAACATTTTCAATAAAGAAAACTAAATACAACTGCTCTCAGATATGACTTATCTGTTAAACATCTGATTTGCAAGAGATTTTATGTAATTTTAAACAAATCCATTTTGTAATTAGTAGGGATTATCTCTGTGCATTCCCTAGTGAAATGTCCCAAATGAATATCCATCTAGCTATTTGAATTATTATTGAACTTAACAGTATATAGACTTAAGATAATTATTTTTCAAATAAAGTAATAAATTTTGTACATGCTTAATATCAATTAAATGTGAATTTTGCCAGTATTTGTTTTGAATATTAATAAACAATCAAGTGATATTTAGCCATGTGTTAAACTGAAAACACTTATTAAAAACATTTTAAAGCTAACATATTCTCTTAAACTGTCAGTGTTGTTTTAGAAAATGAATTACAAGCTATATGGTATGTGTGATATACAAATGTTGACTAAATCATTCAGGATTATATAGATAGATATCCTTCAGCTGTCTATGTAGAGATATAATACATAGTTGATTTATCCAATGAGCAGCAGAGAGAAAAATTGCATGATGAACTAAAGTTTTGTGTTTAAAATCAAATTATCTCTTAAACTGTTTGCTCTTCTGTATAGTTTAATCTAGGGTCATGTTGGAATAGTGTTTAAATGAGAGATTCTTTTTGGGGGGGGGAGGCGGTCAGGCAGTGGGGTTAAGTGATTTGCCCAGGGTCACACAGCTAGTACGTGTTATGTGTCTGAGGCCGGATTTGAACTTTGATACTTCTGAATCCAGGGCTGGTGCTCGATAGAGTGGATACACTGAGCCACCTAGCTGCCCCTAAATGAGAGATTCTTAACCTGTGGTTGAAAAACTTTTAAAAAAATTTATAACTGTGTTTCAGTTTTGTTGATTTCTTTTGTAATCTTATGTATTTTATTTTATATATTTAAAAAACATTTTGAGAAGGGGTCCCTAAGTTTTACCAGACTGCAAAGGATTCCATGTCACCAAAAAGGCTAGGAATGGTTAGAAAGAACTACTTTCATATTCTCTTAATTTAAATGTCAAATTACTTTTGTTTCTGTGACTTTTTATTGCTTCAAGCCAGATGGTTTGACTTGGGCTCTTTTCCAAGGTCTGGTCTCAACCATTTCCCCCAAGCCTTTCCAATCATTCCACCTGAGAAATCCAATTAGTAGTCATAGCCATTGCCACTAACCTACTGAACATATTTAATTTAAATACTTGAAAGTCATAGTGGGAGAAGGACAGGATTTGAAGTAAGTCAATAAGCATTTAAGTGCTTAGTATATGCCAGATATTGTGCTAAACTCTGGGAATAAAAATAAAAACAGACAGTTCCTGTCCTGAAGGAGCATGCCCCCTGAAAAGGGGAAGAGGGCAATCTGGGGAGAAATGAATTCATACCTGACCTGGGAACTTTCCTTGAGATGGAGTTTCTGGGAAGAACCAAGTAATCAGAGGAAAAGGTATCAGAGTGGCCCAAATTACTTCACTGTGAGAAGGATGGGTCAGAGTGAACTTTCAGGGTGAGGACGCAGCTGCGTCCTGTGGAGAAAGGCCAGAGAGTCAGCAGTGGAGTCTGGAGAGAACCTGATTGAATCCCAGCTTTGCTCTTTGATGCCCTCTTGACTTTAAACAGATCACTTTGTCTTTTTGGGCCTGGGTTTCCTCATCACAAAATGAGTAAATTAAACTAGATAACCTTTCCAGCTCTGAATCTATGCTCCCATGATGTGGATCTAATAAATTAGTTGGTTTTGTTAAAAGATCTAATTTTACATTGGTATCTAATTTTGGAAAGTAGCTGGCCTTTGGGAATAAAAAAAATCATAAAAACAGTCCATCATCTTTATCATCATCATAACAACTAGAATTTTTATAGCGCTTTAAGGTTAGCAAAGTGCTTTACAAGTATTAGCTCATTTTATCCTCAGGAACCTTGGGAAGTAGGTGCTATTACCATCCCCATTTTACTGATGAGAACATTGAGGCAGACAAAGGTTAAGTGACTTGCATGGGGTCACACAGCTAGTAGAGGTCTGCGGTCAAATCTGAACTTAGATCTTCCCTTCTCCAGGTTATCAGCCTTCTATCCATTGCATGACCTAACGACCACCTAGTCTTTGAATAATTTTTGTGAACTGCTTCTGAGAAAGGCCACTTTAACATATGTAGTGTTAGTTGTAATGAGCTTTTAAAGTAAATGAAACAATCACACCACAATCTGAGGCTATCGTGTAGGAATATGCCAGGATGTTCTCTACCTAGCTCGTATCAGCTTGCAAGAGCAGATCACTAAATTTTCATTATAAACATTTACATCTCAGAAATTGGCAAATGTTGCAAATCATGGCTTTGTTTCTTTTGTTGATTGTCTAGACTTAAGAAAGTTAATGTTAAGAATGCAGATTAGACTTTAAAAATGTGTCATATATACTTTTTTCCCCCAGAGGCCTAGTTAAACATTTACCAGCACACCCCTGGAACTTGGGATTTGAGGAGGTGTTCCATAAGATGAATATAACATAATACTGAAGTATCTTCCAAGAAGTACATACTTCAAAGCAGTACACATGTTGCTAAAGTATTTGTTTACGTTAGGAATACAATAGGGAACCCTGTTTTCAGTCACAGACCAGAAACCAGCATTTCTTTCACTGACTTAGAATATACCACATTTGTGACTTTAAGGCATCAGGGAATGATACTCATTCCTTCTGTTGTTGTTGAGTCATTTTACTTACATCCAACTCTTTGTGACCCCATTTTGCAGTTTTCTTGGAATGTTTACCATTTCCTTCTCTAGGTCATTTTACAGATGAGGAAACTGAGGCAAAACAGGTTAAGTGATTTGCCTAAGGTCACACAGCTAGTAAGTATCTGAGGCCAAATTTGAACTCAGGACTTCTTGACTCTAGGGCTAGCACTCTACCCATTGTGCCATGCAACTGCCCCTTATTCCTTCTATTGACTCTAATAACTTTTTGACTTCTCTGCAGCCATTGACACTATTAGTCACTTTCTTCTGCATGCTTTCTCCTTTCTAATGTTTTCATGATATTGCTCTCTCCTGATTCTCTTCCTACCTGTCTGATCTCTGCTTAATCTCCTTTGGGAGAATCTTCATCTAGGTCCTACTTACTATGGTTATCCCCCAAGGCTCTGTTCTTGATCCTTCTCTTTCTCTATTCTGTTATTGATTCATGAGCTTTCATTGGTTCAGTTATCTCTATGCAGATGATTCACAGATCTGTTTAGTCCTAACCTCTCCCCTGGGTTCCAGTCTCACATCAACAACTTCCTCTTGTACATCTTGAACTAGATGTCCCACAGACATCTTTAAATTAACATGTCCAAAGTAAATTTTGTTATATCCTTCTCCGTTGCCCTCCCCTCTTTCTAATTTATTTCTAACCTCTAATTATTTATTAAATAATATTTTATTTTTCCCCCAATTATGTGTTAAAACCATTTAAAACTTTTTTTATAGTTTTGAGTTCCAAATTCTATCCCTACCTCCTTTCTTTCCCCCCTTCCTAAGATGGTAAGCAATCTAATGTAGGTTATACATGTACAATCATGTAAAATATTTTCATATTAGTCATTTTGTACAAGAAGACTTGAAAGAAAGAAACGAAGAAGAAAAAAAGTAGTATGCTTCAGTTTGTATTCAGACTATCAGTTCTTTGTCTGGAGGTGGACACCATCTTTCCTCATAATCTTTTGGATTTGTCTGAGATCATTTTATTGCTGAGAATGGCTAAGTCATTCACAGTTCTTCATAGTACAATATTGATATTATACTGTGTACAATGTTCTCCTGGTTCTGCTCACTTCACTTTGCATCAGTTCATTGTAAGTTCTTCTAGGTTTTTCTGAAATCATCCTACTTGTCATTTCTCATAGCACAATAATATTCTTTCACAATCGTATACCATAACTTGTTCAGCCATTCCCCAATTGATGGGCATCCCCTCAATTTCCAGTTCTTTGTCACCACAAAAAAGGCTGCTACAAATGTTTTTGTACACATACAAAATGTACACTACAGATATTTTGTAGGTATATTGGTATTTGCTTATTCTCCCCATTAGAATGTGAGATCCTTAAAAGCAGGGATAGTGTTCTTCCCTTCTGTGTATCTCCAGTGCTTAGCACAGTACTTGGCACTTGGTGAACACTTAATAAACAACTGCCTTAGTCACCCCCTCCAAAATCACGGTGGAGTGATTCCTACAGGCCAACACTGCAATCCAAATCCAACCAATGCAATGCAAATTCTAAAAAATGGTATTTCAACCCTTTAGGACCAACTGAAGTGAGAGCTGAATGGCCACCGTAAAAACCCTCACTC